CAAGCAGGGTGATCTACTTCTTGTTCCTGTAGGTGGTTCATTACGTACCAAATCCAAATCTTGTACATGAGAGTTTGACAGGGTTACAAAGAAAAACGACTTATATGATGAGGTTCCTGCGCTGAGCAGCTTCAGCAGATCTATTAGGAAATTCATAATTTAAATATACTTCAACAAATAATGAATAGTTCGCACATGAACCAACTATACATGATAAAATCATGATGCCTCCAATCAACCCATGTCCTAAAAAAGGTAACCTATATGTACATTTAGTCCAAACTCAAAACTGTCACGGAAATCACCAGCAAGTTGTCAATTTGCTACAGATCGGGACGGTATAAAGGGAATAAAATTTTATGAGAATAACCAATCTATAATTTTATTAATCAAGGGTGATTCAGTAACTAATTACAACTATATTCCTAAAAGGAATGCACACATACTAGCATTGCTATTTTGAGTTATATTATATTATATTATTGCTCTGTTTGGTAACACCTCAATTTTGAATTAATCAGTAAAGTAAACAGGCAAATAATCTCTCTGTTTGTCAGTATAGTGTCTGGAACACCATGCTTCACCAGACACATGTAATTATCCAGATTGACGGCACATTGTTTCTTTGGTAATGATTAACTTATAGGTAAATATGAACAAGAACAATGAAAAAGACTTATGAATGGTCAATAAACATCGTCAAAATGAAAACTGACATTTAATGAAGCACCGCAGTGAATATGAGTTCCATGCCATATAGAATACAAACATAATTTAGTTTTCAATGGAATAAAAAAAAAAAATCTAAAGTACACAAGGTTATTTTGTGGCCAGTTCCCACGACACATGTCATGTTCCTTTTAGATGCGAGACCCTCCCATTTTCTCATCAGTAATCTATGTTGAGAAAACCAAAAACCACTTATAGTATGATCATGTATTTTTTTTTATCTGGTTTATGATATCATGTAGTAATGTATACAGATTTGAAGGTAAATTTCAAAGCAATTTTAGTAATCAGGCCATACATGTCAATTTTCATTAAATGTTCATTAATGTTCATACATTAATTATGACGTTCTGAGGTGATATATTAATTTACAGCAATAAAAACATTCATTAACAAAAACAAAATCCAGCTATACATGTAATAGTATTAGACACTGAAAAAATAATCTTATTATAATTTGTGTTCCATGCAGCTATAATCGGTAGACAAAATGTTTCAAATTTATTGATCCTAGGGGAATATTTCATTTGCCCCGTTTGTAAGAAAATACCAGACATAACTATCTATCTCAATTACACTTGTACATTCCACAGAATTCGTAAAGAGAACGGTTGCTGAGATATTACACTGCAGGACTTAAGTGAGTATTCTTCAAAAAAAAACATCCACCAGATACAAATGCAATACAACTTTCGACCTTGAAGTGTCAGAGAGAGCCACATCTTCTGCTGCTTGCCACTGACATTACTGTACATCACTGGCTAGTAATAAAAGAATAATACTACCATAATTCTTATTTCTGTTCACCTGCTCTCAAGTCATAAAGTAGATTTCTTTTCATTTCAATTCTCCACAGAATATTTCTATTTCCTTGATTTCCTCTGAATGAGCAATGATTTTTATTGAAAGGAGATTCGTTGTCAAAATTTGTCGATAAAAATCGAGTACACTGCTATGTTTAATTACATTTAAATTTAAAATCAGAAATTAAATGGCAATTAAATCAATTTTTGATATTTGAGTATCAATGTCATACTATCCTGACTGCCATCTATCTCCATGGATAAAAATAAAACACCATCTTCACACCATACTTGTGTCCCTTACATTTGTATTCTCGTTGAAAGCATTAAAATTCTCTGAAGAGCATAATTAATTAGTATGGTATACATGTACTGGTAATACAGAATTAAAATATCAGTTATTTTAAGCATATAACTTATGGATCGAGTATATATTTTAGGCTATATAATATATGTTAGGCAAATAGATAGCATTTCTTATTCCACTCACAGACAAAATGCATTTACAAATAAATGAATTGAATTGACCATCTCTGACTATGTTATAAGAATCTTGTAAAAGAAAAGCAGGATCTGGACACAGAATAAACATTTTCTCAAGTATACTCACATGTATACTGTGGAATACTTTATTTTCGCTGGAATAAATTTTCGCTAAAAAGGCTTTTTGGGCGTTTTGTATGGAATTTATTTTCACTTGATTTTTGATGTGTTTAATGGGAAATAAAGGGAAAAAAGTATATTCGCTGGATTTTATTTTCACGGAATCATCCCTTCAGCGAAAATAGCGAAAATAAATTCCAAGCGAAAATAAAGTATTCTACAGTATTCAAGGAAATATACCAGAAGTCATTATAGCATTTCTTTGACCAACCCCTGTCCCCTTTCAAAGATCTGGAGTATATTTATACTACATCACAGTCGCTCAACAAGGGAGGGACTGTGATTATGTGTTACACATTCTGTGCTGACAGCCTAGCATTTTACAATTGTGTATTCTCATGCAAAACAAAAATTAACTACCGGTATAAACACAATGGAACAAATAGTAAACAATTTCATTTTATTGAGTAATTATATTAGACAATATTCTAAGAAGACCCAAAATTGCGTATTTTAGTTCATAATTTCATTTTCCAGAGTTTTTATTAGAACGGCGACTGTCAATGCCTATTTATTTATATATATACCAACAGTAATATTATGGTAAGACATCGCGATAGCAGAATAAATCAAGCAGTTACCGGCACATCTCTGTGCAGTCACTTGCCTGTAATGCGAGTATATTTTTCCGTTTTTTGGTAAACTGGTGGAAACTTCTCATCGAAATAATCCCCGGTGAAAACGACGTAAGTAAGCAACCAATATGTTCCCACAAAACACGGCCGATCGAACTGTCTTGGGTGGCAGCGATTTGTCAGACGGCAGTTCGGGTCAGTGATAGGTTCTTCCATCCACAACTACTGTTGATGCAAATACTGTATTTGCAGCCGCTGGCTCAATATAGGCCGCGTACATTGTACGGTACCCTGCCACCGCTCGACAAATCAAGTCAATGTTCGCGCTATCGAAACGCCAGAAGCAAAATAAATATGATCGATCAGGTTTGCAAAGAAAATATAGTTTACGTTACCTGTGATAATAATCAACGTAGTTTTATCCCTTGGTACGTGGTCGTCCGAGTAGATGACAGCTCAACAGAACCACTGAAGCCCAGCTATGAAATCTGTTTTAAAATCCCATCAATGAACGTACATTTTGTTTTCTCCGACGAGACACACTGACCCAAGTTAATCATTTACATATAGCTAAGGGGTCAGAAATTGATCCTCAAATAACGTAAATGTGATAATATGGCAGCCTATCTAAGTCTCAATGATAATCCACAACCGCAGGGGTAAATCTTTACCAGCAGAACAAGGCCTCCGTCCGAAATTATATTTTTCAATTGAAAATGAAAGTTAGTACTCAACATTGCGTTTAACTCTCTTATTTCCATTCACGCCATTTTCTGGAATTTATGCGTCATTTATAGATAAAATAACACAATACTTATAAATATGAAATGCTGATGTAGTTAAATATTATGTGTGAGGTGTTATTTTTTTTATCTTTAAATACATTAGTTGTGAAATTCCCGTACAAATTAATGTGAACTTATAAAACTGAGTAGCATTCACTCAAAATGTCCTGGGTGATCAGATATGATTCTGCGGTGGATTAAAATTCTGCTAGTAACTAATTCCAAATGTTGGTGGTTGGACACAGCAGGTTATGAGATATCATGAATTAAGCATCATGTGTGTGCATTCACATCTCTGAATTCCTTCAATGAAACAAAATCCGAATATACTTTGATTGTTTTGGTACGTACTGGTTGCCGTTATTTATTTTTTTCTTCCCATTTTACATTGAGCGAATAGCATTTTTGCACCGTTCATCAACAGCATGACATGTTCCTAATGGCTCATTTTAGTCTTGACCTTATTTATCCTTCTCCCATGTTACTTTTGACCTCAAGTAATGTACTTATCACAATATCACTCGAGGGTGACTTTCTCCCGAGACTTCGTGTATGTTCTTCAAGTTGATACTTGATACTTCTTTTTTATGTACGTGATTATAATCGCAGGGTTATAATATTATTTACTAGAATGTCATCGCACGTCAGCATACGTACAAGTGAACCTTCTCCGATTAATATACTAGTACATTAGCTGAATATTCGGTATTTCCTTAGACGTGCCATGGAGGTAAAAAGAGATCTTTTTACCTCCATGGACTTGCATACATGCATTAAACCTTCTGCTGTAAAATACGAGACTAGGGACGTCACTTTCACTTATGGAATTGCCATCATTTATGGAATTGCTGCAATCTGCTGAGGGTACTTCCATAGTTGAAGTATACATTTTTTAGCCATTTTAGCAAAATTGAGACAATTTTTTGGCGAAAACGCCAGTTTTTTTTAGTCAACGCGCCCTCAACGTCGATCTTTTTGGTCCAGGTTTCAACTGGTTGCGGAGTATCCCCAGCCAAAATCCAGGTGAGTACCCCCTTCCTGGTCGACAATCCAATGCCCTGTGTGATCATACTCTAGTCCACAATGCCTCTCTAATAGAGGGACTAGTCAAAAGAACCATTAGCTTGACTACATGCACTATACTCTCGGCGTCATGAGAAATTATGTAAATTGCTCCGATTTGTTTCTTATTTTCAAATACTGATTATGATATGGAGAGGAATGAACAAATGCCGCCACGGAGGACCAATGTTGCGTTCCATTTTGTGAGGAGTCGCAAAAATAATCCTCCGCCAGAACCCCTAAATAATTTGAATGGATGGTCCCTTGTTAGCCGATGGGAGGGGGTAAATTATGTCGACAGAACAGCCATCGATCGATCTCGCATGGGATTGTGGGTAGCGAAGTTCCAAGATGGCGGTTCATGGGTTACTTTAGGAAAGTCAAACTTTACACATTTTAGATTTTCGATGTTTTATTTCTAGTTTATGTTTTTTTTTAAAAAAACAAGTCATATCTAAAGGCTTTCAGGGTTGTTTTGTTCCAGTGATTACCGCCGTATTTAACTCGATTGTACCAAATTGATCGGCTACCTGTCAATACGGACGCGAGGCACTATTTCTCAGTGCACTCCATCGAATTTAGAAAAAAAGCTAACCGAAGTCGCCGCGTTTTTTGCACTTGTGTCAAATTGTATAAATTTGATGCCAATCGGATTTACTACTTTCGATCTCATTGCGGTAGTGACCAAATTACTAGTACTGCACAAGGTAAGTCAATACATGTGACATTGCTTTAAATTACGACATGTTTTTTTAAAGTCCTCGTTGCGTGCCTGCTTTTCCAATGAGTTGGATGAACAGGGTCAGTCACCTCCACTGTTTATAAAATATCTATGTTTCCCTGCAAAAGAAGATTTTCACAACTCTAAATAAAGTGCGCACTGTCAGCCAACAACTTTTGGGCGCTCTTGTTTCAGTCTCTCTGTAAGAATTCTGACAATAGTTGTACCGGAAGTAAACAATGACATAAATAATGATTTTATGTTACATGATGTACGTACTGTGTGCATTTAATTATGGATCAAAAAAATACGTGTTTTTAGTTTCATAATCATCTACCATACTTGATGCAGTAAACAATCAATTATTTGTTAATCAATTATTTGGCCTTGTTTTTATGAGTATAACGAAATAAAAATGAACTTTGATTTAACATAACAATAGCATGATTGTATCATGTTGTAACATTTCAGAGGGTTTTAGTCGTCACATAAACAATTTGTGAAGGGATGTACTTGAGTTTGTCCATTTGTACACAAAAAGTTGCATGATAAATAAATAGTGAAAAAGAAACTTTAAATATAAAGCCTTTAACTTTCATTTCATGATCATATCTTCAATTCTCTAATTTTGGTGAATATTTTTGTCATTTTTGGTAAAATGTGATATTTTCGACTTCTTCTTAAAAACAGCAAGTCCAATTGCTTTGATATTACATATGTAGGTACTACATGTAGAGCTCTCTCAGATTTGTTCATTTTGTAATGATATCTTTAATTCTCTAATTTTAGTGAATATTTTTGTAATTTTTTGTAAAAAGTGATATTTTCGACTTCTTGTTACAAACCACAAGTCCAATTGCTTTGATATTACATATATAGGTACTACATGTGGACCTCTCTCAGATTTGTTCATTTCATGATGATATCTTTAATTTTCTAATTTTGGTGAATATTTTTGTCATTTTTGGTAAAAAGTGTTATTTTCGACTTCTTGTTATTAAAAACCGCAAGTCCAATTGCTTTGATATTACATATATAGGTACTACATGTGGACCATTCTCAAATTTGTCCATTTCATGACGATATCTTTAATTTTCTAATTTTGGTGAATATATTTGTCATTTTTTGTAAAAAGTGATATTTTCGACTTCTTGTTACAAACCACAAGTCCAATTGCTTTGATATTACATATATAGGTACTACATGTGGACCTCTCTCAGATTTGTTCATTTCATGATGATATCTTTAATTTTCTAATTTTGGTGAATATTTTTGTCATTTTTGGTAAAAAGTGTTATTTTCGACTTCTTGTTAAAAACCGCAAGTCCAATTGCTTTGATACTACATATATAGGTACTACATGTGGACCATTCTCAAATTTGTTCATTTCATGACGATATCTTTAATTTTCTAATTTTGGTGAATATTTTTGGTAAAAAGTGATATTTTCTTCTTGTTAAAAACCACAATCATTTGTGGTGAAAAATGATATTTTTGAATTCTTGTTGAAAACAGCAAGTCCCATTGCATTGATACTATGCATATTGTTCATTTTCTAATGATATCTTCTGTTCTTTAATTGAAATGTGCATTACTAACAACGGAGCTATCTCAGTCGAGAGGCTGCTTGTTTTATTACTAATGTACTTATTTAGAATAAATCTTGAATGAGTCTGCTGTATTGTAATATGATGGTATAATACATTATCATAATAATTTTGCTTGTATAATAATATTGACTTTTTAATGGTAACTAAAATACCCGAAAGGACATTCACAGATTCAGATCATTATGTATCTCAGAGACAAAAGGCCACATGCTCTACCATGCCAAAGCAGTCAATCAACACCAAAAGAAAATGCCATTAAATTCATTGCAATTTTTTCTTAGCTTAATTATTTTAACAATTCCTACACATGATTCCATTAGATTTCTCAATAATTACTTGGAATCCATAAAAATGTCATTTAATCTTTAATTGGAGCACGGACATAAGGTCTATGGTTTGAGTGTACATGCTGTGTGAATGGTTTTTAATAAACAAAAGATGCGTTCTGATGATTGTTTGCTGACTTTCTAAATGGAATATTTAAATAGAAGTCCACAGTAGAATATTTTTGTATGAATGATGTAGGAGCATGTTTAGGCTATTTAATTATAAATATACGTTGTAATTTGTAAATCATCTTTATCAATGATAAAAACACCTGTAAATGACAAGGTAATGATTCTTCTGTTTATGTTGCAATTGTTATGCTTTTCTTGGCTACAAACCCAAAAATTAATCAGTAGCTTGAGAGAAATATTTTGTTGATTTTTTTTTTGATTTCATATATCTAAGGCTGTGATAAGGTATGTGATTTCATTAAAGATTAAAAATGCAGGTAAACAATGTAGCCATTGTTTCTTTTTCTATCAGTCCCTTCCAAGCCAACTGGGAAACACTCCAATGCTTCTTTCTAATATCAGATGTAGTTATATTTGCCTGGGCAATTAATTATGGTATACAAATGCGCTGGAGTTAGCTGAGAAAATTGTTTATGACCTACTCTGGAATGGTGGCAAAGTAGGATTGTTGATGTAAATAGTGCAATGTTGACCCCTGATAGTGTAACTGACTGAATCTGCTAACTGTCACCAGAGATCTGCACTTGATAAACATGGAAAATAAATAAACATCAAGGATTGGAATGTTAGCACGGTACATCTATTATTTGTTGCCTGTACATGTAAAAAAAATGTAACAAACCTTTCTTTCCTCTAGTAATAAATTATAGTGAAAATTTAAAATAAACCACCACACATAATCTCATTTATTATCTATGTGCTCCCTAGGCTGTAAATATGCAAACATTGATAGTTTATTTGTTATTTCTATTGAACCAGGCTGTACTCTGAAATAGGTCAGGGATGTAAACATGAACTTTGACCCTTTAGTTTGCAATAGATACATGCACAAAGCTGCTGTTGTAGTTTTGAATTGTTGTAATGGAACAGAGTATGTAGCAGTCTTGTACATATCACTGCATAAAATGTGAAACATAGTGTCAGTAAAAATTAAATAGCATCTTACATACAGTATGTTCATTGGCATAGTATTAAATGATACACAGCTTTTTCTCGAAACATTTTCAAATACCGGTATGTCAAAATACAAAATATTTGGCCGAGTAATTAAAAAGATTTGTGTGTCTCAGCTTTTTGTCTAATTTTTCATGAAGAATCAAAATCACCTTCAGGAAACCTTTTTTTCAATAAATTGAGAAAAAAAGTTTGTGAATGAAATCACTAGAAATTTTGTTGATTTTGTTAAAAAAAAAATTTAATATTATGAGACTTCTTTTTTTTTATAAATTTGAGTGTAGTATAGCTTTGCAATAATGGTGGAGTACTTTTTATTCAGGTGGTTATATTTTGTCTACTTCTTGAATAGGTTGCCAAATTCATCATTATCCTTCTTTGAATACTGTTTGTAATGCTGTTTGTAATACGTGTACATATATGTAGCTGAAGGACCTATAGGTAGGTGACCACCCATAGCAAGTAGACAATTTTTCTTCTGTTTCCTCTCACCAAAAGCCGCTTGGAATATGCATTTATCTGTCAAGTCAGACAGACAGTTTGTACATGTATTGAATGGGTTCTATTGAGATTTCATTTGAACAAAATTTGTGCTGCAAAACATGAATTCTTGATACCATTGTGTTCAGTAAACCTTTGAACAAACAGGGCTGATCAAGATGTCTGGGCATCAGCA